GTCGACGACGACGAAGACGACGACGACGCCGACGCCGACGACGACGACGAAGACGACGACAACGTCGCCAACGAAGTCGACGACGAGGAGGAGGGAGGACGACGGCGACAACGACGACAACGACGACAACGACGAGGGAGGAGGGAGGACGGCGACGACGCGAACGACGAAGAAGGAGGAAGGACGGCGACGCCGACGACGACAACGACGAGGGAGGAGGGAAGACGACGACGACAACGACGACGACGACGACGACGGCGACGAAATAGGAGGGACGACGACGACACGCCGACGACGGACGACGACGACGACGACGACGAGGGAGGAAGAGGAAGGACGACCACGGCGACAACGACGACGGAAACGACCACGACGCCAAACAGGACGACGACGACGAGCACGAGGAAAGACAGAGGACGACGTAGGCGACGACGACGACGACGCGGGAGGAGGGAGGACGGCGACGACGACGACGACGACGCAAGAGCGCGCGCGCACGCTTTTGTTGAATATCCGTGTTGCGAAGCCTTGTGTTTTTGTAGGTTTTGTTGGACGCGCGATTTTGAAATCCTTCCGAAACCCATGGGTTTCGAAGGATTTCGGCGTACGCGCGCGACGACGCGCGCGTCTGCACTTCGTCAAATTTTTTGCAGAGGATTCTCGCGACGGCACGCGCGCAAGGGCGTTCGACAGATTTCGACATACGCGCGCGCGACGCTCGTTTGGTAGCATGTTGTGAAAATCTTGAAAAACCAATGGTTTCCTTAAGATTTCGCAAGAGCTCGCGCGTAAGCTTTTTTAGCAAATCAGTGTTGCGAAAGCCTGTGTGTTTTTGTATGTTTTTTTGAAACTCGATTGCGAAATCCTTCCGGCACCGAAGATTTTTGAAGGATCTCGGCATGCGTGCGCGACGACGCGCGCGTGTGCACTTCGTGCAGTTTTTTTGCAAGGGATTCGTGACAAAGTCTTATGCTAGAACAAACAATGTCCCCGCGTATCGTTTTTTACAAGGGAACCTTAGGGGGAGCGATACCGGTTCCCATGGGATAGTGCAAATTCATATTTAGGATGGACATGTGGTCATAATCATAGTTGATTTACATATCCGAAAGGGGGGCGGCGAACGCTGGGGGGGGTGTAGAGTCTATTCTCTTTTCAGAAAGGAGAACCAACATTATTGTGCAATCTATGTGCTGCAATCGTCGTGATGCAATCTTTCTGGTACGCAACAATGTATATGTTTATATATGGTGCAGGCTATGTGGTGCAATCTGTGTTGTGCAGTCGTTGTGTGCGATCTACGATGTGCAATGCACCAACGCTCAACATAAAGTTGTCCACCCCACTGCTCCCGCAAACATCCCACCCACCCACCCGCAAGTTGGTTTGCAAACCCCATGCGGAAACGATTGCGATGAGTGCTTGGTGTTGGCTGGTGCATTTTTGCGACCGCGCTAGCCAGCGCATGCTCGCGCGCGCAGCGGCCAGCTAGTTTAGCGCGACCGACGCGAACACGGTGGCGCTGACCGCTCGGCACATCCCAGCGGGCACTTCAGTGCGAGTCGGTGACTTGGCGGGCGCGGTATCACGGCAACGCCGACAACGGTAGACAGCATGATGATAGTAGCGATGCTGGAAACGATGCTGACAGCGACGACGGGGCAGCCAGTAACACTGCAGCGAAGACGCCGGCGACGATGACGGCGTCTTCGCGTCGGTGATGAAGGTTTTGGAAGGAATTTGAAATGCGCGAGCGGCAGACGCGCGAGAGTGGCTCGCATGGTATCATTTGACACGGATCGTGCCACCCAAGAGCGCGCGCAAGGGCGTTCGAACGATTTCGACATGCGCGCGCGCGCAGCCCATTTGATAGCATTTTATGAACAGGTTGAAACAGCTGTGGTTTCTGCGCGCGCGCTTTTGTTGAAAATCCGTGTTGCGAAATGTGTTTTCCACCACAATTACTGTTTGGACACTCGATTTTGACATCCTTCCGAAGCCGAAGTTTTCTTTTGTTGTTTCAAAAAGGATTTCGGCTTTCGCGCGCGACGACGCGCGCGTGTGCACTTCGTATTTTTTTGCAAGGGGTTCTTGAAAACTTCTGGTTTTGATGAACCAGTGCGCGCGCATAGTTTTTTTGCCAAGGAACCGAGGGGCGGCCTAGCTGGGATAGTATGCATTCACAGGTAGGATGGACATTGGGTCCCAATCATATGTGTTTTGCATCGGTTCCCGGTGAGTGAATAAGTCCGGGGGGGGAGGGTGGTAGAACTTATTTTTTAGGAACGAGAGTTGACTACCCTGCACCGCGCTTGACCACCTGCATCGATCGCGCAAACATCCCACCCACCCACCCGCAAATTGGTTTCCAAACCCCATGCGGAAGCAATTGCGATGCATGCTCGGCGTTGGCTGGTGCATCTCTGCGGCCGCGCCGACCCTAGCGCGCGCGCAGCGGCCAGCTAGTTTGGCGCCACCGACGCGGCAGCGGCGGCGCTGACCGCTGGGCGCATCCCTGCGGGCACTTCACTGCGAGTCGGTGACTTGCGCGGGCGCGGTCTCATGGCAACGCTGGCTACGGTAGACGCGATGATGATAGTGGCGATGCTGGCGACGATGTTCGCATCGACGAAAGCGCGGCCAGCGCGGGCGCCGATACTGATCGCGCCGAGGACGGTGACGGCGTCCTGGCGTCGGTGATGGAGGTTTTGGAAAGAGTTCGGTATGTGTGCGCGGCCGACGCGCGAGAGTGAACCCCAGCCTCCCCCTCAGAAGTCGTGGGGGGTAGGGGTAGGGTTCGCATCTGGCCCCCTATATCCGCTTTCTTCTTTGCAGACGTCAGTGCAGGGCCGGCAAAAGCGTCGGTGTATGGTGTTTGGTTCCCCAGACTCGAGGGGAGGCTGCAGGCAGGGCGGGGGAGAGCCGGCGAGGACACGATCGAGGAGCAGGGGGAGCAATCTGGGAGGGTTAGGATTCGGATCGACGTGGGGGGGGAGGAGGAGGAGGAGGAGGAGGAGGAGGAGGAGGAGGAGGAGGAGGAGGAGGAGGAGGAGGAACATCAGCGCGAGGATCGTGCAGGAGGAGCGATGATGAGGTGGTCGAGGAGGAGGAGGAGGAGGAGGAGGAGGAGGAGGAGGAGGAGGAGGAGGAGGAGGAGGAGAGGAGGAGGAAGAGGAGGAGGAGGATGACGATGACAATAATGGTGATGATGACGATGATGACGATGATGATGATTATGATGATGATGAGGAGGAAATGCAGATGTTCGAGAGGAGGATGAGAAGGAGGAGGAGGAGGAGAGGATCCTGGAGGAGCAGTATCGATGAGGACGAGGCAGGATGGTAATAATCGATTAGTGACGAAGAGTTGGATCGATGAGGGCGAGTCAGACAGGATGATGCTAATCATCGATGGGGGCGAGGTAAGGTGACGACGACGCCGACGCAGACGCCGAATAGGAGGAAAGGAGGGCTATGGGATGTAGAGGGGGGGAGCAGACGGATAACGCGAGGAGGAAGATAATCGAGTGGGAAAATGTGAAAGACAGGATCGAGAAGGAAGATTGATGAGGACGAAGAATGAGGATGAAGCAGGCAGAGGAGGCGGAGGGATTGACGATCCCGATGAAAAGTCAGCCATCAGGTGTCCGCCTTCGGTGCCGGCATGTGCTGTGCATTGGAAGGCGCGGGTGTTTGGGTGCATCGTTTCCATCTTGCCTCTATTTCCCCGTCAGTGTTCTCGCCGTCCTCTTTCCAGACATCATCTTTGTCCCGAGCCTCGGCCTCACGATATTTCTCTTTCTTCTTCATCGGCGCTGGTCCTCCTCTCTCTATGCCTCATCCTTCCAGCTTCTAGTGTCTCTCCTCCGTCCTCCTGCTGGCTACCCTCACCCTTTTCCTCCAGCGTGGGGCCGTGGAGGAGGAGGAGGAGGAGGAGGAGGAGGAGGAGGAGGAGGAGGAGGAGGAGGAGCAGGAGGGGGAGGAGGAGCAGGAGGAGGAGGACGAGGATGAGGAGGAGTCGGAGGAAGAGGAGGAGGAGGAGGAGGAGGAGGAGGAGGAGGGAGGCGGAGGAGCAGGAGGGGAGGGGAGGGAGGAGGCGTAGGAGGAGGAGGAGGAGGAGGAGGTGGAGGAGGAGGAGGGAAGGACGAGGATGATGATGAGGAGGAGGAGGAGGAGGAGAAGGAGGAGGAGGAGGAGAAGGAGGCGGAGGAGCAGGAGGAGGAGGAGGAGGAGGAGGAGTAGGAGGAGGAGGAGGAGGAGGAGGAGGAGGAGGAGGAGGAGGAGGAGGAGAGCAGGAGCAGGCCTGAGCAGGGAGAGAAGGTGGGTCAGTCACGGCCAGAGCCTCTTGCTTAGCGTGTCGCACCGCTGGCTCTGCCTCGCCACGCCCCTGGCGCGAGACGCCAACCGGGTCCCCGTGCCCGTGCGTCGGCGTCCCGCTCCTTTCCCGGGGCCACCGCCGCGAGGCGCTGAGCAGAAGCTCCTGACCGCGAGCCAGCACACTGACATCCTCTCATCCTCGTTCTCATTCCCCTCCTCCCTTCCCTCGAGGCCGCCGTGGCGTCGGCGTCCTCGTCTTCCTCATCCTCCTCATCCTCCTCATCCTCCCCTCCTCCTCCTCTCCTCCTCCTCTTCCCCTCCTCTTCCTCTCCTCCTCCTCCTCTTTTCCTCTCCCCCTCCTCCCCCTCCTCACATTTTGCCTCCTCACACTCGCTAGTCTGCATCACCTTCACCAGCCCGTCCCTCTGCTCGTCTGTTTCCTCCTCCGTTCCGTCCGTTTCATCATCCGCCTCGCTCTTCCTCCTCACCGTCCTTCCCCAGGTTATCCACGCCGTCTTCCCAGTCCTCTCCATCGTTTGTTCCTCCTTTCTCCTATTGCACTCGCTCCCTCCCCTCGCCACCCGTTGCCATTCATGTTCAAAGTTTTCCGTCTCCATCCTTTTGCTCTCGTTTCCTTCTCTCTTTCCCCAGTTCCTCCTTACTCCCCCTCCTCCTTTGCCTGCTCCTGCTCTCTCCCCTCCCTTGCCCTCCCCTTCCCTCCTTCGCTACTGCCACCTTCCCTTCCTCCCCTTCCCTCCCTCGTGCCTGTTTATCCTCCTGCCAGCGAGCGCCCACCAAAAAGCATCCCTCCTCCTCCCCTCCCCCTCGCCCGAGCAGCGGAGGGCGATGAGGAGTATAGGGAGAGGGGAGCCACTGGGAACCCAAGACGCATCAAGGATGTGGCAGTAAACACTCCATCCAGGTTCCCTCTTCGCAAGCAAAAACATAAAGCACAGAAAAAACAGCTCCCTCTTTGCAAGTCCCTGCAAGAGAGCGTTTCCATTGCGGGGAATGCCTCAGTGAAAGACAGCCATCAGAGAATCCTCTATCGTGTCAAAGAACAGTTCTTGGGACTTCAGCGCAGCGAATCAGCGTGATTGTTCCGTCCTGACACTCCTAAGCCTTGCCAGAACACCGTTCCTGTGACTTCAGCACCGCGAGTCAGCGTGACTGTTGCGTCATGGCAGTCCTACGTCGCACCAGAACGTCATTCCTGGGACTTCAGCCCCACGAACCCGTGAACCTGACGTAAACGTTTAAGACGCATGTGCGCGGCGCTAGGGCGAGAGCCAGAAGTTGAAGATGAGCCGCCCTTCATCGTTAAATGTGCTGCAAGCGTTTAGGAGGAATGTGCGCGGCGCTATGGCGGTACCCACATGCTTACAAGGGACTGCTCTCCATCCTTGAAGCTATTGAAAGGTCGTTTTAAACGAGTGTTCTCGGCGCTAGGACGAGAGCCATGTTTTGAAACAGACCCGCCCTCCATCTTCGAAGCGGTTGGAAGCTTTCGAAGCGAATGCGCGCGAAGCCAAGGCGAGAGCCACATCTTGAAAAGGAACCGCCCTCCGTCCTTGAAGCTGCTGCAACGTCTAAGCTCCAGGATCCCACATGGTGAGAAAGTCTCAGGCGAAGCGCCCGGCCCGCCCTACGGACACGACGGGGGGTGCGGCGTGGAGGAGTTATCTAAAGATGAGAGGGGGATGAGGAAGAGGAAGAGGAGGAGGAGGAGGAGGAGGAGGAGGAGGAGGAGGAGGAGGAGGAGGAGGAGGAGGAGGAGGAGGGGGGAGGAGACGGATGGGGGAAGGACGAGGAGGAGGAGGAGGAGACGGAGGAGGAGGAGGAGGGTTCCTCCTCTCCCCCCTCTCCCCCCTCGGCCCTGCCCCTTCTCCCCCCTCCACTTCCCTGCCAGGGTGTGCCGACGAGCTCTGCCAGCCCGCCCCCGCGGGCCCCGAGCCGGCGGATCTCGGCGCAGGCGCCGTCTCCAGAGGACCCCATCGCGGGTGGGAAAGCAGGGAGGAGGAGGAGGAGGGGAAGGACGAGGATGAGGAGGAGGAGAAGGAGGGGAAGGACGAGGAATGAGGAGGAGGAGGAGAAGGAGCGAGGAGGAGGAGGAGGAGGAGGAGGAGGGGGAGGAAGGAGGAGGAGGAGGAGGAGGAGGGGAGGAGGAGGGGAGGAGGGGAGGAGGTGGAGGAGGTGGAGGAGGAGGAGGAGGAGGAGAAGGAGGAGGAGGAGGAGGAGGAGGAGGAGGAGATGCGATGAGAGCGCAGCGGGAGCGAGTCGGGCGGACCGACGCGCCTCGCCCTCGCGCGCAAGCGCGGGAAGGCCTCCAGCCTCAGGCGGGGACACGCGCCGCTGGTCCCGCCCGCCGCCACCCGAGGAGAGCTCTCCACTCGGGCTGAGGTGCTCGCGGCCCGAGGATGACTCTTCACTCGGGAACGGGCGCAGCCGCCCGCGGCGGCCAGCAGCGCTCGGACCTCCTCGTCGAAGGTCAGATCTTTTCTCGACTGAGGCGCCCCGAGGAGCGGGCCACGGCATCTGGTAGCAGACGGTCCACCACCACGCTGCGGCGCCCCGAGGAGCGGGCCACTGCCGCAGAAGTGCGCCACCTGCTTGGTCGCGAGCTCCTCAGCGTCGAACGCCAGGTCACCTCCCCCACAATTCATCACAGGCTGTGGGCAACTGTGTGGACGCGCACATGTGTCCTGGGGAGCCGCTCCCAACGGGACTGGCTCCCCTGGACTGCTCCTCAACCTGGCAGCTCGCAAGCCAGCGGGTGCCCCTGCCCTCGCTTGCTGACCTGCGCCACGCTGCCTCGCTGTCCTCCTGGTGGCGGCCTGAGAACCAGCGGGTGCTACTGGCCTCGCTTGCTGGTCCTCGCTGCCCCTCAGGAGTTCGGGTCGTACAAAGACGCAATCGGCTGGCAGACCGCCCGCTGGTGACGAGCTCGACGCGCAGGAGGTGGCCGTCCCTCCCCTGCCCACCTCGCGGCCAGCCCCCCTCTGGGCGGCCTGCGGGGAGCGTTCGGGCACCTCCCCCTCACCGTCAGGACTCCACACCACCGCAGCTTCACTGCTGTCCATCGCCCGGCTGCTGCCAGCAGCGTCGAGCAAGAGGCGCACCTTGTTAGCAAAGGACAGCGGCCTCCTAGCTGCCACCTCGTAGAGCTGGCTGCGCGGCTGCTGCGTCTCACGGGATTCGTTCACCACAGGCACATCACCACCATCGTCACGGACATGCCGAGCGGGATCTTTTCCCGCGTCAAGCCTCTGGGCAGCGTGGCAACCATCACTTGGCACAGGGTACGTGGAGCTCGCCAACAGTACCCTGCCCCGCGCGCTGTTTACCACACGGGTGCACCTGGGGGCAGGTCTGAGCAAAACCTTCGGCGACTGAGCCCAGCCCCTCGCGCTGTTTGCCTCATGGGTGCACTTGGAGGCTGGGGCTTGCGTTCTAACACCTGCTGCCTCATGCTCCGTGGCGGCAGGGGCCTTGGCGAGCTCCAGATTAGGCCGATCTCCATCACGGACCGACCCGCAGCCCCCACCGTCCGTCCATGCCCAGGCTTTAGATGAAGAGAATGTCCCCAGTCCAGAGGGATGCACATCTCTGGCCACCTGGGGGAGTACTTGTCCAGCGCCAGGGTCAGCGGCAGCAGCCAGAGGACCAGTCTCCGCAACTCCTTTTCCTCCCTTGGCGACGCGCGGGACGGCCCCACGACTGGAGCAAACCGTATCACCTGCTGCCTCATGCTCCGTGATGGCAGGGGCTTTGGCGGGAGCCGCTTTGGGATCGGCGGTTCGCGCGGGGTTGGGCCGATCTCCCTCGCGGATCGACCCGCCGCCGCCACCATCCGTGCATGCACCATTGGCCTCCGATGAAGTAGCCGTCCCCAGCCCAGAGGAATGCACCTCTCCGGCCACCGGGGGAAAATACTGGTCCAGCAACAGGGACAGCAGCAACAGCCAGAGGACCAGGCTCGGCAGCTCCTCCCCATCCATCGCCGACGCGCGAGGCGGCCCTGCGACTGGGGCATACCGCGCCAGCACGCTTGGCCACCCGCCCTTCGGACTCGCGCGCGTCGGGGGGGTCGCTTGGCCCTGGCGGCCGAGTGCAGCACCAGAGAAACAGCCTTGCCCCCCTCCTCCTTCCTGGCAGCTTCGAGGGCCACGCTCCTCGACTAATATCCTCTTCAGGCAGCACTTGCCGCAGCGCGAAGGCAACCCGCGACACGCGGCCCGAAGGCCCCTGCCCAGGAGGCGCCCCGCTGCCGCTGCAAACAAGCCGCAGCCTTCGCAGAGCCGCATGCCCACGCCCCGGTGGAGCCTCCTCCTGCGCGGGGGGGGGTGCGGGCTGCCGCTGCCGAGGTGGACGGCGCCGCCGGCGAGCCGCCGCACGCCGTCGCCTGCCACCCGCATGCCGGGGCAGGGAGAGAGAAGAGCCAGGACGCACGAGTGGAGTGCGATGTTGAGCAGCGACAATCAAGGGCATAAAGAACGCCCCTACCCTGGTTTACGAGGCGCTGTGCGCAGAGACTCCTGTGGGCTGACAGGGTAAACCCTGCGTGATGTGCCGCGTTCTGGCGGCTCTAGGCTTTGGGGGTTCCCAGGAGGTTTACAGACCATGCACTTGTAACCCAGGGTAGGGTCGTTTTTTTTCATCCCTCAAGACAACGCTTGCAACCTCCACTGTCGTCCAGCTCGTGCGGGTAACTGAAGGCTGCAGCGGCCTTGGTGGCAGGGGGGGCTCGCCGAACCCCTCCTCTGGCCGCGCTGCTCCCTGGGCTGCCTCCCTTCGGCTTCGATGGCGTCCAGCGTGGCGCGGAGGATCCCCCGCCTGGCCAGGAGAGCGCCCCTCTCGTTGACGATGACCCTGGCGCGGTCCGCCGCCGTCGTCCTCACCCCCTCGGCAGCCTGGCCAGCGAAGATGCCGGCGACGGCGCTGCCGATGACTAGCCACGTGGCAACCCCTCGGGATGCAGCCTCGGCCATTTCCAAATGCGAGCGTGCGCGGGCGACCACAGACTCGCCCCTGGGCCTCGCCCGAAATTCAGGGGGGAAACACACACAGACACAATTCATCGTCGATTCCCAGGAAAGTATGGGAAAGTATGGGAAGTGGGGGGGAAGACAAAAGCCCAGAACTTATGGGAACATATGGGGGATCCTGTTATTTGTGTGTATTTATTTGTATGTCCTGGGGCCCCTTCAGACATGCACTGGCCAACTCGAGCCAGGGATCGGCGCCCTCGCCGTGCGTGCGGCTGCTGGTCGCGCCTCCTCCACCAGCCTTCGCAGGGCGCCAGGGTTGTCGGACGCGAAACGAGCAGGGCCAATGGACCCCTGCGCAGCAAGCGGCAATGCCCGCAGCTCGCCTCGATGCACCGTCTGCAGTGGCCCTGCGAGCCTCCTCCTCCTCCTCCTCGACTCCTCGTCGACTCCTCCTCGACTTCTCCTCGACTCGTCCTCCTCCTCCTCCTCCTCCTCCTCCTCCTCCTCCTCCTCCTCCTCCTCCCCCACCGAACGCGGCCCGCACCATGGCGCCGTCGCATGCCCGAACGGGGGCCACTGCAAGGCCAACCCTCCTGAGCAGGGGCGAGCTGTCCTCAGGACCACCACTGGGGCGCCGCCGAAGGGGACGAGCGGCGCGGCGGCGGCGCCAACTCCAAGCGTCCCAGGGCAGAGGGCCCCGCGCTGCAGGCCTGTCTCCAGCGTCCAGCAGTCGATGTCGCTGGGCGGGTCCACTGCCGTCCACGCCGATGGGGTGACCCCGCGCAGCCAGAATACCGCGTGGGCCTCGTGGTCAGCAGAGGCGCGCGGGATGAGGAAGTCGCTGTCCTCGTGGGCCTTGCTGCCGCTATTGCAGGGACAGCCCCAGCCTGTGACAGGCTGTCTCGTCCTCAAGTTTGCAGCGCGGGCATAGCCCACACTCGCTGGGGCCGAAGGCCTCTCTCCTGCGGCCACGGAGCCACTTGGCATCGCTCGGACGTGTGCATTTTTCCTTCGGCGAGGACCATCAAGGAGCATCCTTGACAATTTGCCGAAACAACCACGCACGAAACTGACAAAAGCACAGGGAATGGACGTCCGAGCGATGGCCAGGCCATGGGCCACCCACTGCCATGGTGGCGAGCAGCTCCTCGAGGGCAGCGCGCCCCCAGGGACGGGGGCTGAGCTTCTTGAGCAGCGCCTGGCAGGAGCCCATGTCGGCGCCGCCCTCGGGCCCCTCGCCGCACCAATGGAGAGCAGCCCGCTGCCAGTGATTCTCCTGGATGGACTCGCCCAGCGCCTCGAGCACCCTCTTGCTGGAGCCCTCGGCAATGCTTACGTCGGGGAAGGCCCACCTGTCGCGACTGCCGTCGGGTCGCAGGCGCTCCCGGCCCATGTGGCCGGCTGGGCTCCCCACCAGGCTGCAACGGCAGAGCCTGAAGGGCAGACACTGTGCCTCTCACTAGCCGCGAGCGGTGGGCGGGCTCGGCCTCCCGCAGACGGGCGTGGATGGGAATCCACGCCCGGGCGGCCGCTTGCGCAGATCTTGGCTGCGCCTCCAAACGTCGACGCAGCAGCTGACCAGCGCCATCGGCAGCCTCCTTGCAGGGTCCTGCGGCCCCGCTCTGAGCGCCAGCGGCGAGGTGCCGCACCGCCCCCGACGAGGGGTTTTCGTGAGAGCTGCCAGCCGCCTGCGGAGGGCATGCAGCTGGCTGCCGAGCGTGCCGTAGACCTCCTGCTCGAAGGCGGCCGCCGTCTGGACCCCGACCTTCTCGAAGAAGCCGCACCTGCCATACTTGCAGGAAGCGCGGGCCATGCCTCGCAAGCGTCCGTGAGCACCGCTGGACTTGAGCATGCGCCTGCGAACCGTGGCTCCACAAAAGACGCCTGCCCGCAGCAAGGTCGACGCCACGGCGAGCACCGTGCCCGGCAGCTCGAGCCTCGATGCCGAGCTTCCTCGCGCGGGCTGCGGCCAGGGCGGCGTCGGCGAGGTGCGAGCACAGGACCGCGCTCTTGGGCGCCACCTCGAGGCTCTCCTGCTGGATGCCCTGCCCGAAGTCGACGATCCCCTGGGAGGGCGCCTCCACGACCTCTCTCCTCGAGCCCGCCGCGGACAGGGAGAGGTCGTCCACCCACTTCCTCGGGGTGAGCAGCCGCGGGGCCCCGAGAGCCAGCAGGCGGAGCGTGCGCTAGGTCGTGCATCTCGCGAAACGCGTGCCCGACCTGACTCCCTGCACCACCGACTGGGGCGGCCGGACGATGCGCGAAGCCACACCGTCCTGGAGCAGCGCGCGTCCTGCCGCGCACTGCTGGAGTTCCAGCGCCAGCACCACGGGAGGGAAGCCACAACGCTGCGGAGCCCCCGCGAGACCCGTCCACGACGTGCTGCCGCAGAACTTCTGGATGTCGATCGTGCCGTGCCCGTGCGTGATGCCAAGTGCTGCATACGCCCCCTCGTCAGCTGCCCGACCGAAAAGGCTTCTCGCAGGGCTGAGCTGTCCGCGACTGCGGCGCCCCAGGGAGGTCCCGTCGTGCGCGGCCACTCCTTCATGGGCTCCTCCCGGATCTTGCTTCGACATCTGGTGGCCATGCTCGGGACCCCTCTGTTCCTTTCCCCGCCGTCCTTCCTGCCGAGGACGCGGCCGAGCACCCGAAGCAGCTGCGCAGGCCAGGTGCCAGCTGTCTCTGCTGCTGCGAAGAGGTCGACAGGCTCCTCGATGGCGGCATCGGGCAGGCGAGCCAGGTCCCGAACCGTGGGCCGATCGACCCCCAGACCTGTGCTGGGTCGCATACGACAAAGGGCCTGCCGCACATCCTCGACGGTGATGGGGTGCAGCTCGGTGAAGGGGATCTGTTCACGGAGGTCCTCGAAGAGCGAGCTCAACTCCACGTCGTCCGCGGCCTTCGGCGCCCACGGGCCCGTCCAGACGTCGGCCTTGCTGTCCAGCATCTCCGTGGGCTGGACTAGTATGGATCCTCCAACCAAGAGCTCATCAGCTGGTAGAGCAGCCCTGCGCAGAGAACTACAGACGACAGGCGTGGCCTCCACCGTGCTGATCCACAGGCGGAACTCTCAGAAGGACGCACCAATGGCGCGGTGCTTGGCGCGGCCAGCTGCAGCATGGGCTCCCGACTCCAGAGCCCCGACGCGCTCCTCGGGGATAGCGTGCACGTCGACCAACCCTTCGAGCACGGCGCGAAACCGAAGCCGTCCCTCGCCGCCACGCGCGCCTCCACGATCCCTGGCGCCCCCCTCGCTGCCAGCTTCGGCCAGCAGCAGGAGGAGGAGGAGGAAGAAGAAGAAGAGACAAGTGATAAGGTCCTGCTCGTTCTCGCCGTCCTCCTCCTCCTCCTCCTCCTCCTCCTCCTCCTCCTCCTCCTCCTCCTCCTCCTCCTCCTCCCCACTCGTCCTCCCCCCCCCTTCCTCCTGCGAATGCTCTTCCTCGCTCGCCTCCTCCCCTCCTCGTCCTCCCCCCCCCTCCTCCCCCCCCCTTCCCTCCTCTGCCTCCCCCGGAGGAGCCTTGCGCGGGAGCGGGGGCGGGGAGGGGAGGCACGTGGGAGGGAGAAGAGGGATGGTGCGTTCCCGAGAGGGTCCCGCTGTCGGTGCATCTCGCCCCCCCCCCGGCGGAGGGCTGGTGGCATCAGACCGGCGGTGGGCCCGCCGGCGGAAGCTCGGCTGGGCGATCGGGAGGAAAGGCACCGTCATGGGCGATCCGAGTCGCCAGAAGTCTGCGTTGTGCACTGCAGGATGGATCGATTCTAGATCGTCACCACCTACCAAACCACCCCAACCCAACCCGAAGGCCTCAATCTGCCCTCCATTTCCAGTGCCGGGGGGGGGGGTCAGGGAGCGTTGAAAAAGCACATGGAACCCGTACCCCCCCAACCCGAAATGCGGGTCAAATTCGGGTCTTCGGGTTGGGTTGGGGTGGTCTGGTAGGTAGTCAGATCGTTCGTCCGTGGTTCTTCAGAGGGGGACTGGCGTCGGTGGCCCAGCTTTCGTTGTTAAATTTGTTCTGCAGGCGTGTTGGCGGAAATATGTCGCCAGGAAGAGTTGTTGGTGACCAGCATCGGAAATAAGCATATGACACATTTAACGATGTGTGCCCCGCCTGTGTTCGTACAGGCCGATCCTTTCAATGGTGGCACGCGGTGGGGCAAGGCAGATGCCAGATATGAGGATTTGCGCTTGCTCTTTCCGTGAGTCCGTAAGGACAAGCAATACACACTATGAGTTCCGGTTTCACCAATCCAGGTTGATCGATAGCCATTCAATGAGATATCGGTGAAGTTTGCGTGATGCCATCGTACGGTGGTTCTAAATGCTTTCGCCTCGCTATTGTTCTTAGGCTGTTCCGCCTTCGTAAATTCACCCTCTTTCGTCGTGATTCGTTGACGTAGTTGCAGCAATCATTATACGTACTGGTCACATGCGATGTGTACTCTCATTATGTCTCCTCCCGATCTTGGCGGCCCTGTGCATTCGACCATACTTGAAAGCTCACGCTGACATCCACAGGAGTGGAGCGCCTGAACGCCGACGTCTCACAAGAAAGTGCACTGGAAGTACCCGCGTTAGCTATCAGGCAGCACGAGGCCGCTGATCCGCTGATCCATGACATCAATTGCCTCTGGCCTCTGGCCCAACCCGCCATCCTTGGATGCATCCACGGACTCTTGGGATGCCTCTCGGGGGGCTCTTGGAAGACTTTTGGGAGCTTTTTGGGGGCCTCTTGGGGCCTCTTGGGGGCCCCTAGGGTGCCGTTTCCTTACATTGTGGGGTGGAGGGCTCGGAATCCCCGTCGTTTCCCCCCTCTTGCATATTGGGTGTTCTTGGGCCGTCTTGGGGCGACATTGGGGCCCTCTTGGGCCGGCTCGGATTTCCTTGCACCGAAGAGACAACGATGCACACATGGTTGAACAGTTTTAGGTTGTTCAACGGTTGGGGCCTGTTGGGCCAGCATGAGTCAGCACCATGTTCGGGCCGATTCGGGGCCTTCTTGAACCATCTTGAGGCCCTCAAGGGACCCCGCGGACCGCCTTGAGGTGCTCTGGCCCAGGAGGCCCGCGACAAGCCCCAGGAAATCCGCGAGTTTGGGGTCTGGGCCCTCCATAGAGCATGTACAGTACTCACACAGAAAGCCCTAAGCGACTTTCGAACACTCCACTAAGTGCCTAGCGGCACGGTGGAGAATCCGATCGTGGCCACAGCAGGTACCAACAGTTGCGCATCGGGCACTTCGATGCGACACTGCACCGTCGGCCCCAGCGCCGTTGGAGATCGTGCCTCGGTAGACACGGCCCGATCGTGTCAGCCCTGGTGCCAGCTCTCAACCCTCCGACACTGCGTTTTTACACTACATAGACCACTCGGCCCCACCCCTTAGACCCTTTTTTTGCCGCGGGCCACTGGTTACGGTTCCCAGGGCTCGGCGACGGGCTCCAGGTTTCAGGCGCCAGAGCGGAGAGAAAATGCATTTCTCGTTTTTTGTTCGCGACGTCTGAGTTTTGGGCCCATACTTTTCTCGTCGCAGGCATCGGCACCCTGACTTGTTCTGGAGCGGGTTCTGATCGGGATTCTTCGAGACTTATGCAGCCGTGGCAGCGAGGTGCCCACATCCCCCTCTCCCTCCTCCCTCCTCCTTGCGCTTGTGAGTGGGGCGCAACTCTGGCTCCCTGCAGACGTTCAGGACCTCGGCGAGGCGCAGCTGATGGAGAACACCTCGGGGCCGAAAGTTCCCAGGAGCTTCAGGGACCACCGAGAAACTCAGAGAAAGTCCCCCGTGCCCCCCTGCCCATTTTTCCAGCCGCGGGGGGAGGGCGAGAAGGGGGGCACCGACCGAGGAGGAGGAGGAGGAGTAGGAGGAGGAGGAGGAGGAGGAGGAGGAGGAGGAGGACCAGTGTAAACCCAAGAGTCATCAACGATGTTGGAGTAAACCCTCCCTCCAAGCTCCCTCTTCTTGGGCCCTCATACAACGGTTCATTTCCATTGATTGAACTGCCCCGTTGGAAGACACCCGTTTGCAGACCCTGAAGCATGCCAAACCATTGCTCTCGGGATTTCAGCGCCATGGATCAACCTGACTGATGCGTCTTGACGATCCTGAATTGTTCCCGAACGCCATTCATAGGATTTTAACATACATAATCAACGTAACTGTTGCTCCCGCATAATCCTAAACCCTTCCACAACACACTTTCTGGTATGTTGATGATGGGTATCCGTGAACATCTTGAAGATGCTGAAAACGAATGTGCGCCGCGCTCAGGCGAGAGCCACATTTTGAAAACGGCCCGCCCTCAAGCCGTGGAGCTCTTTGCAATGTCTTAAACGAATGTGCGCATTGCTCAGGCGAGAGCCACATTTTGAAAACGGCCCGCCCTCAAGCCGTGAAACTCTGGCAAATGTTTAAGACGAGTGTGCGCCGCGCTCAGGCGAGAGCCACATTTTGAAACCGACCCGCCCTCAATCCGTGAAGCTCTTGCATGTTAAAAACGAATATGCGCCGCGCTCAGGCGAGAGCTACTCTTTGAAAACGACCCGCCCTCAATCCGTGAAGCTCCTTGCAATTCTTAAAACGAATGTGCGCCGCTCTCAGGAGAGAGCCACACTTTGAAAACGACCCGCCCCAAATCCGTGAAGTCCATGCAAATGTTAAGAACGAATGTGCGTCGCGTTCAGGCGAGAGCCACATGTTGGAAACGGCCCGCCCTCAATCCGTGAAACTCGTGCAAATGTTTAGAACGAGTGTGCGTTGTGTTCATGCGAGAGCCACATGTTGGAAACGGCCCGCCCTCATTCCGTGAATCTCTTGCACATGTTTTGAACAAATGTGCGTCGCGCTACGGCGAGAGCCACATGTTGAAAACCACCCGCCCTCCATCAGTGAAACTGTGGCCACTTTTGAAGCTTCAGAGTCATAAGTGGTGAGGAAGTCTCAGGCGAAACGCCGGCCCGACCTAAAAACTGGCCTCGGGGTGCGACAGAGAGAAATTATTCATAAGGAAAGGAAAGGAGGAGGAAGAGGAGGAGGAGGAAGAGGAGGAGGAGGAGGCGGAAACACAGAGGGGGAAGGAGAGGGCGTGAGGATCACCTGGTTCTTCTTTCCCCTGCCCCACCCGTCCCCGTCGGGTAACGTGCCCACTTCCCGCTGGCGGGTGCCTCGCCCTGCGAGTTGACTTGTCCGTTGGCTCGGCGCAGACTGCAGGCGCCGACCGCAGGCGACCGCAGCAGCAGGCTCCGAAGGGGCGCCAACCGATCCCGAGGGCGCCCAGCGAGCAGCGATCGGCTCCGACCGGAAGGGCGCCGACCGAAGCCGGCCTCCGCCAGCGGCCGGCCGAGGTCCTGACCAGGGCGACCCTGTTGTTTGCCGCCGCCAACGTCCGAGAAGCAGAGGCGGCCGGGCGCTCGGGCCCCGCTGGCCCCCCTTTCCGCGTGGGCGGGCGGCCAGCGCGCCCGACGGCCCCCGAGGAGCAGGAGGAGGAGGAGGAGGAGGAGGAGGAGGAGGAGGAGGAGGAGGAGGAGGAGGAGGAGGAGGGAGGAGGAGGCGGAGGAGGAGGAGGAGGAGGAGGAGGATGAGGAGGAGGAGGAGGGAGGAGGAGGAGGAGGAGGAGGAGGAGGAGGAGGAGGAGGAGGAGGAGGAGGGAGGAGGAGGAGGAGGAGGAGGAGGAGGAGGGAGGAGGCGGAGGAGGAGGAGGAATGAGGCGGGGGAGGAGGAGGAGGAGGAGGAGGAGGAGGAGAGGAGGAGGAGGAGGAGGAGGAGGAGGAGGAGGAGGAGGAGGAGGAGGAGGAGGAGGAGGAGGAGGAGAGGAGGAGGAGGAGGAGGAGGAAGAGGAGGAGGAGGAGGAGGAGGAGGAGGAGGAGGAGGAGGAGGAGGAGGAGGAGGAGGAGGAGGAGGAGGGGGAGGGAGGAGGAGGAGGAGGAGAGGAGGAGGAGGAGGAGGAGGAGGAGGAGGAGGAGGAGGGGGAGGGGGGAGGGGGAGGGGGAGGAGGCTGGCTGGCTGCGCTTCTTGCGGTGCTCGCCGCCACGGCCGGGCGCAGCATGCCACGGGAGTGTCTCGTCGGCGTGGCCGGGTGCAGCTGGACAAGGTGGCTTTCATGGGCTCCAGGAAGGGGGGTCAGAAGGGCCGATCTCCAGCGGGTTCTGACGTCGTCGTTTGGGGGGCTGGCCCCCCTCCGCGTGGGCGGGCGGCCAGCGCGCCCGATGGCCCCCGAGGAGGAGGAGGAGGAGGAGGAGGAGGAGGAGGAGGAGGAGGAGGAGGAGAAGGAGGGGGAGGGAGAGGAGGCTGGCTGGCTGGCGCTTCTTGCGGTGCTCGCCACCACGGCCGGGCGCAGCATACCACGGGAGTGTCTCGTCGGCGTGGCCGGGTGCGGCTGGACAAGGTGGCTTTGATGGGCTCCAGGAAGGGAGTGTCAGAAGGGCCGATCTCCAGCAGGTTCTGACGTCGTCGTTGGGGGGGGGGGTTCGGGTGTGCCTGCAAGTCGTAGTCGGCACGGTCGGACGCAGCTTAATCTTTGATGGACACGAGGGAAGGGGCCCAAGATATGATCTCCAGTGGGTCCTGACGTCGTCGCTTCGATGGTGTACGGGCGTCTCTCGAGGTTCTCGTCGCCAAGGCTGGGCGCAGCTGGAGAAAAAAGCAGCCTTGGATGATGGACCCCGGGAGGGTGTTCCAGCGGGAGGGTGTTCCAGCGGTCCTCCTCCTCCTCCTCCTCCTCCTCCTCCTCCTCCTCCTCCTCCTCCTCCTCCGGGGGGGGGCGTTCACGGACCGTTTTCCGGCGGGTGGCGTCGTGGAGGCCGTCAGCGTGTCTGGAGTTCTCGCCGCCATGGCCGGACGCAGCTGGAAAGGCTGGCTCGGATTGGGCACCGGGCATGGGTCCAGGGACAAAATCTTTCAGCGGGTCTGGTGGAAACGGGGTCCTCAGGTGTGTTCCATCGGTCTCGGGCCTCCCAGGGCCTTCCCCCGGGGCCCAGGACCGTGGAGGAAGGGCCTGCAAGGAAGAGCGGACCAGGGGAATAGCCTGAAGTCGGGCCTGTCCCCCTACAGGGGGATTTTCGCCGAAAAATGACCCCCAACATAGTCACAACAAATAATCAAACATAGTCGGGGGATTATTTTTTCAGTATTTTTTTGACCTCTTTGGGGTATCTTTGGGGTATATCTTTTATTTGTCGTCGAAAATCCCCCCGTAAGGGGGGACAGGCCCGACATAAGAATCGCCCCCGTGGTCCAGGACCGAGTCGTCCCCTTGTGCCAAGCACAGTGCCGGTGGCGGGCAGGGGCTCCCGAGGCTCCAAGGTTTATTCTGCCCAGGCATGCCAGCGCCATGGGAAGCACGCTGCGAGCCTGTGCGTCGGGGGTGGACAGACCTCCTACAGTCAACGCGCATAGTAAGGACAAACGATTTTTTCAAGGGTACCCTTGGGTCCTTGCCTGCCGCAGCCTCTGCGGCCCGTCCCTAGCAATTTTCGCAGGCCAGTTTCTCAGGTTCCCTGCGGGTTTGGCCGCCTGCCGCCCAAAATACTTCAACTTCGGCCTCCAAGGGTCTCGCGTCCTTACCACGCG